ATAAAATATATTTCTTATTGTATGCAAATTTCGTGATTTTGGCCTGTAATTGTTTTACGAGAGTTAATTGATTGCTTCTGTCAGAAGAGAGACAGAACCTCATACATTTTTTGGAACTAGATTTGATAAAGAAGAGTACATTATTTGGACTTTCATTAGTACAAAGCTATTTGACCAGATGTCAAACGCGCTTTTCTTTCCAACAAATAGGCAGATTCAAGAAATTCATGGACCGGTAAGATAAAAAAAATCACAAAAACTTTTCAGTATTTTTTTAAAAAGAAGCAATAACCACCAAAATAAATTCCACTTATCTAAAAAGCAAAGAAACGCGGCGTGATAAAAGGTTAACCGTACTAAGAAACGTTTCACCCCTAGGTAGATGACTGTGAATCAGCCAACATTCTGAGTCACTATGGATACACACTGACACAAAAGAGTGGGAGCCGAAAGAAATCCGGTACCGCCTGACCCAGGCCCCAGAATTTGGGTGTTTCTGCGCGGGTGGACAGCCCTAACGTTTCGGCTGTCATGTGGCGGGGTCAGGTGCGACCGGTGTCTTTATTTACAATGAATTTCGTTTAGTAGGCTATCCCTGTAACATCATTGTCACTTCAAACCTATTCAACGAATCATAAAAGAAAAGAAGTAAAACTCGTCAAAGATCAAAATGTACTTAGAAATCGAAACAAAAGCTTTGTAGTCGAAAATGTGTTGTTCCATGCAAATTTATAACATACAGTACTTTGAAAAGCATTGGCGATAACTGTGGTTTTCCTATTAATGCACAAAAATAGCAATTATAAAGCGTCAATCATTTCGGGGATTTTCAAAATTTCAGTCTGTATGGACGTGTTTGTGACTTTCTGTGACAGTTTCTTCGATCGTTCTCTAGACGATCTTCTCTCCAAATTTTGGTTATCCGCCCCGGGAATGTCTGTTCTACAAATGTCTTAAAAGGTTTTGAAAAACGTACATTTTGACAGTAAGGAAAATGTGGAATAATGATCAGGAAAATGGCCTTTTTAGTCAGTGGTTGTGTAATTTCAAGGTGACTCTGACCACAAAAGACGCTCACCCTGATTACATTCAGGGGACATTTGTGTATCAGCATATCTCCACTCACCTATTTGTGGCGTGTCCATAGGAGCATAAGATACTACTATATTTTGTTCTTTCACGCTTATTCGTAGTTCTCAGGTTATGCTAAACTGAGAATGTGAAGTTGATAACGGTAATTCTTGTTGAAAGAACACAATTCTGGTTTGATTAAAAAAAGAAATGTAATCTTACTGTAAACGAATTTGCAATTTTCGTGAAATAGAACCTCCTTCTTGAGATTGAGAACGAATAACAAATCAACTCCTGATTTCAAAACAATTCTACGTCGATTAACAAAGCAATCTGACTTTCCATATATTTATATCAAACTGTGCCATGAAAAATATACGAATCCCCGCTGTTATTCAATTAACCCAATTCAATTGCACTGAAAATATTGCAGGGTTCCACGAAATTTCATCCTGTAAAGATGGTGTTAAAAGACAATCAAAAACATTTTCGCACAATAAAGATTGTTTTTAAATTTCAAACTATAAGCTTTACAATAGGCTATCTCTTTATTTTAAATAAAAATTCGAATATGTGGTCACACTCTTCCGACATGCTGCGATATTCCGACCCTTCCCTGCGGCGAAAGGATGGGGAAATAGTATTGGCCTGTTCGGCACAGGTTTTAATCGTAGAAACACGCAGATCAATGGTGAGAGTAAAAGCAAATGTAAAAGCAAAACAAAAAAGCAGTATGTTGTATATCTATGCAGTTGTTCGAGCCGAATTTAACCCCTGAGTCTTCTTCTTTCGTTAATTGCAAACTGAAATTAGTATTCATGTTATTCATGAAGATTCTGTAGGCATTTGGTGTTTTTCAGAGAACACACCGGGGTTGCTTCAATATTTAATAGACAATCTTTAGTTTGTGTAGGTAAAAGGTTATCACTAATTTGAATAATCAAATAAATGTAGAATTATCAAGAACAGAGATTCATCAGCCGAGGGACTTTCTCGGTGGGGTGCAAGCTTTGACGCATTTTCAATTTGCTGTTTTCAATTTGAATTCATGTTCACGCGTTATCTTACGTGGTTGTATTCTTTGCGATGACTGCATTATAAAAAATGGTTTATTTCAACTCTGAATGATTAAGTTGAGGCTTCTAGTTCAAATAGGTGCGGTTGGGATTAAAGGAAAATCTTTAACCATTATCAAATAAACTAAATAGTGACTCCTCCATATATGGTGACTGAGTCGAGAAGGAGAATTATTTACATCCTTACATCTATATTTTGTAACTCACCTGAGGTCAAAGTTTCTTCCGACTTCTCCTTTCATTTTAATGAAAAATTCATGATATCCTTTAACGTGCCAAGCAGCTAAATAGAGGAACTGGTTATTGGATGATTAGTTGGAATTGGATGTGAATAAATCATTACTTGCTCTTTGGCTGTTTTTGTGCTAATTATACATTGGTTTTGCCATTTCAAAACAGAAGAGGTTTGGGAGAAATATCATGTTTCACATAGAAAATACTGCACAGGGTATTCTTGCAGGTCTCCAGTAGCCGGTGATTTTTACTCTCAGATATACAGTGGCTTCCTAATATTTTTTTTGCCCTGATATCAACATTTGTTCGTTTGCTCTTGATCTCTTGATCGTTCGCCAGCTAATGATTCTTCAGTTCACACGTTCCAATGATATACAAAAAAGTACAGTTTTAGATCCTTCTTGTGCTTTGCTAATAATGCCTTTTTATACCCATTGGAGCACTATAAACATCGATTGTTGATTATTGTACATATTGGCTACTAAAACCTATAGGAGAGGAAAACTATCTAGCTGACGGTTTTAAGCTTGAATTTGATCTCCTCGCGGCTTTATGTTTTCATACTAGCCTCCAACCAAAACTTATCAGATAATTCGCAAAAACATGGGGGAGATTTAGGTTTGTGCAGAAAGAAAATATTTTAGTTGGGAAATGAATTTTTCAATCGGTCATTCTCACGCTTTTCGTTCCTATATAATTTTCTGCTTAGTATTCTCCTCTAAAATGAGAAACCAACTGTTTCAGAAAACTATGACGCACGCTTTGGGGCCGAATTAAACATACTTCTGAAAGGATAACTTAAAAGGCCATGCGTGAGGCGTGATATTCAGGACTTTTGCTGAGGTTACGCCCACTATCACGCATCGAGTGCCATTCAGTCTATAACGGTTCCTAGCAAAGTCATTAGGTGCGCACTTATCTTGTCACAGCAGAACAATACATAAATATCGTAAGAGCTTATGAGCTGAAAATATTCCAGTATAACTAGAGCAAAAATTCAGGCTCACCATTTTCACCACGGCATTGCCGAAACCTTCATAACTGAGTAATTGAATGGACCTCTATCCTCGTCAGAAGAGACAGATAAGCTCCACCTTATTCACAAATGGAACAAATGGAAACATCTGTGAAAATTGTACCGCAACCTGAATAGTTCAGCATAAACGGATTATTTTAAACTCTTTTCACAAATGGAAAATTGGAAAAGGACATTCTTTGAGACTAGCAACCGTATGGGGTTTTGGGCTTAACAACATCTTCGTATCTCTAAGGAGCCCGTACTTCAAAGAGTAGAAATCGATTCGCCTGCGATCACGAATTGCGACAAAGCAACACAAACGTCAGAAAACCTTTGTTTGAAACTGGCGATTTTCTTTATGCCGTTTTCCCTAGCTGTCTCCTTCGTACAGCCCTATGACGGCAATTTTTGCATCCTAAACCGTAGACCATGTTTGTAATACTCAGTCACAGTACCCATGCCAAAATCTTCTGTTTTGAATATCCGAGAGAGTTCCTTAGCCCCCCAACGACAGCGCCATCTGATCCGACGATCATTAAAAAAATTCGCATAACAGAATTGGCAATCATGTTTGATATGTGTCAATTATGCAGCTTATTATAGCGCACGCGTGTGGGTATGAGCAAAATGCTACAAAAAGGAAAAATCTACCTTGGCAAATGGAAGCTTTTTAAGGTCTCTCTTAATTTATGCTGGCGTGACTTTTCGTACTGTTTCTATACTCTAGCGCCCAATCTTTCGAGCGCACACGGCAAAGGAGAATGCAATTTAATTTGATTGAAGTATATCTAAACGACGTAGAACCACCGCCTACACTTTTAAATCATACATTATAGGTAGATCCTCTCTACTATCCAGCAATTTAGAAAGATTGCCGGGAGCGTTGGTTGGTTTTTTTACGCCCTCACTTCTTGCTGGATGCCCTTAGGGATTACGAGGGTAACCTTGACAGAAATTAAAGATATATGGGCCACCTATGCAGATTTGTTGACCCTTCAAGTAGACTGTTTATTTCTCTGTCAGAACAGACAAGCCCAAATGAAGGACAAACTACGAAAGGATGAAGTGTGGTGGAGAAAGGACAGTATAACCTTAATCTTAAACACGAGCATGATCTGACGACTTGATTTAAAAAATAAACAACTAGGAAGAACATGTGTGGAAAGAGAACCAGAAAGCGTCTACGAGCATTTCCGACATCAAAACATCTCATTCCGACATCAGAAACTTGCGTCATAATATCTACATACTAACTACCTTTGTGACTGATATGAACTTTAACATAATAGCTGAAGTGAAATTTCACATCGAAACAGACGTTTATAGTGTTTGGTATTTATGCTAATAATAGCCTCTCGCGACACATTAGCTATACCTTTCAAACATCGCGGGGTGTTTCATATCACTGACGACAAGTTTTATCAGTTGCTATAACTCAGTCTAGCGCACCACGATCTGTAAAAGTGCACTCAGTTGAAGGATTGATCGATTAAAGGTGAACTCCTCAAAGCCATATTGTAAAGCTATCTAACTATAAATGAACAACATGAATTCCGACATTTACTCACTAGTGTATGGCCGAGGTACTCGTGACTACTCACCGTTCACCTCACTTCTTCTTTTTATGCGTGTTAACCTGAAAATGTGAGTGACCAGCTATTAATTCCTTCTCATGTAGTAAAACGGTGATAAAACGAGTCCATAAATGTACTTGAACCAATTAGCTGTATTGGTATAAATTCCTAGTTCAGTTTACGGCCGATAAAAGAAACGTAATCGCCTCTTGTCACGTTAGTTCATGTTATCACAACTACCATCTGCGTAGCAAGGATTCTTTACGTATCCGACATGTCTGACAAGGCTCGTTAAACGGAATTTAAATCTCGATTACTTTATACTTATATTTATTACTGTGTTGATTATTATCTGTCAGACAAATCAAATTCCAGAGAAAGAATTCTCAGGTCGGTTTTTATATGTCGGGAATAGTTATCGTGTATTATCGTTGTTATTCTGTACTATCAAAATAATCTTGTAGCACAGACTCGACAATGCCTATGGTGTAGTTTGCAGCGGGTTGATGTTAGCAAAACAATAGACACTTTGATACGGGTTTGCTCGCAACATTCGAAGGGTTCACAGATCTATAACTGAGCATGGGAAAAGCGCTAATCATGTGGCGAGGTAAACTAGTTTATATACGAAAAAGGAAAAAAAGCTGGATTAAACCTTGGAAAAAACCCATGATCCCGATGAATTCCAGGAATTCAAGGAAATTGAAGCATACCATCTCGGTCCTTAATTTCAGAAATAAACTTAGACCAAATGAAGATCAAAACACCTGGTAGTTTATATAGAGGTGGCAATCAGCAAGACACCATGGCCAGCTGTATCAGTCGAAGGTAATATCTGAAGATGCATATTTACGGAACATAGAACAAGCTGTTACCGAGGTCAAATTTACGGTCGAATTTACGTTAAAAAGATTCTTTTAAAGCCTCTTAGGGGCAGAAAATATATACGAAAACATTAAAAAAAAGTATTAGAAAACGGCGGTCTTACAAGGCTATCGATCAAAATGTTTGATTTAGCTGTTTCGTTTCTACAAAGATATTCTTCTCTTTTCAAAGGGCTCAAGATGCTCCACAGTTGTAGTGATGATAATAATAGAATTCTTTTCAATAACTTTGCTAATCGGCCTTTTCCATTCCAAAGATATTCTGATACGAACGATCACTCATCTTTTGAGCAGTAATGACAAGTTCTCCTGTTTGCAGATTTTAAATCTATTAATTTCTTGTAAAAACCTTACTTTCTCCTTACTATCAAGTTAAAATTGCTATTTCCAAAAATTGAAAACTTGGAATTAATCTACTCAAGTTGAACATACACGACGTAAAATCTATGCAAAGTCGAAAGACATATAAAGAGTTACCAGCGTGAAAAAATAAGAATTTTCTTCGTTAACCGAACTGAAAGAGACTTTCCAATTTTGAATTGATAAGAGATAGTTATCGCATTTACTTGGGCGAAGCAGGTTCCCTAGCTAAACAACTGAAACTCTCAATTCTGTTTTTACTGTTACCATTGCCTGGCAGATAAGCAGCATGCACTGAGCTGTAAGAAATCCATAAAATGTTCTAACTTGGTTTCATCAATTAAGTTGATAATGTAAATTGTCCACCGTAAAGAGTTTAACAGCTGACGTTTCGAGTGTTAGCCCTTTGCTCTGACGAAGGGCTAACGCTCGAAACGTCACTGAGCTTTTAAACTCTTTACGGTGGACAATTTACATTATCAACTTAAATGAGATACAATGAATATATGAAGTTCATATATATATCTACTGCGAGGATCGTGCATCATACGTATTATCAACTTAGCTGATAAACCTTAGATACCTTGTTACCCGCACCGATGCAGCATCACAGCACAGTTTCTTTAGAAACTTACCCCCTTTATTCATAAAAGTTTTCTGTCACAATTGAAGGATTAGTCATGTAAATTCTTAAAATGCAGTGACGGATCTAGGGGAGGGACCCGGCGACCGCCCTCCCCCCTAATTTTGGGTGAAAAATAAATGCAGAAGGACGAAAAGCTGGCAGGTGTACGCACAAAAAAACCGCTGTCCCCTCCATCCCCACCCCTTAGCTCAAGGTCTGCATCCGCCACTGAAATGTAACCATCGAGAATAACAAGTATAATAGAAGAGTTGTAAATAATGTTAAACCTGTACTTAAGTTTCAATGTATTGATGAAAGTACCTACGTTGTAATGTACCTCATTTTTTCATTATTAAGTGTGTTTATGGAACCCCACTTGGCCGTTTAGTTTTTGATGGAAATTTTTCGCACCCTAAAGATATTTTTATGAACTTCTTAAGTCATCTTGCTTTAAATAACATGAAATTATAATCGCACCATTTGCAACTGAAATGAAACTTGATCAGAGATTTAGACTTAAGACAAAATTTGTGGTGAGGTGATTCCGAATTTGATGTGCAGTTGGATGTAATCAACATGTAATGATCATTGCAGTGCAGGTAGTGAAAGACTTCTGACGCAGGAGTTTTGGTCAGTCATATGACGTAGTTGTGCACAGACCTTAAAGGCTACAGTCAAGGAGACTTCTGTCAAAAAGCGACGTCTGTCAAAAAGCGACATGATCTGATTTTGATATTTGAGAAATAACCCATTTCTTCTTGCCCACAAGCAAAGGTCGTGCTGATAAAATTCCAAACTTTTACTGCAAAATTGGGTTATTATAGGAGCATCATTGAAAGTGATTCAGAAAACTGAAAGTTATCGGACAGTTTTCTTTAAGCTTTTCTTAAATGTTCTCTACCAGTGTCACTTTCGAAAAATACGATAAGAAAGATAGGTCACGGTGCTTGTTTCAGAGATATGATGGGCCAAACAGACCCCGTTTATGCCTGTATTGGCACTAATCTCGCGTGTCATTTATGCCTGTATTGGCACTAATCTCGCGTGTCATTTGATCGGTTCACGGCACATTTTGCGGTAGCTGGAAGCTGCGGTTTTAAAGGTGACACTTAAAAAAAATACTGAATTGACAGAAAGTCTCGAGCGTATGAAAAATTTGGTACATAACGGGCTTCGTGCTTGCGTTTAGCTATATATTTTTTTCCTTCTATGAATTTTTCTTTTAATTTCTTCAATTTAAGGAAATAGCTTGTACACCAAAATTATGTAACAAAAGAAACAGGTCACCATGCTGGTTGAAGAGCTTAAGACCATTGTACGCCTTTACCCAGTCCACTGATTGAAAAACAGTACCGTGTTCTCGGAACGCGTGCTTGCTTTTTTCGCCTGAGTACGTAATTTTTTTTATGCCCAGTACAGGATGCGCAGTAGAAAACTGAAGAATCACTTTGAAAGAGATCTTTTGAGGGTATTTCTGTTCTTAAGTAACTTACTTCAAATTATTTGCCAAAACATTTGAACGTGACCACACGAAAGGATCGTATGATGCTTTCTCGTATTGCCCTCTATTTCGTACAAAACGCAGCTGAGAAAACGTGCATGACGTCACCTTTTTGGGCATAGTTTGTTGAGACAAAGAACAAAATGATGGCTTTCAAGGAAATTTTACTTCAGTAACCCGAGATTATTTCATTCTTTGACCTTGCTGTGAACTTGTGATCAATTATTTAATCAAATGGAATTCATCAAGAGTACTAATCAATTGCCGTTTGGCAAATGTTCGACAGTTTCAATTATATTCGTCGAATCTTTGCCCTTTCTATATATATATATATATATTGGAAAAATTGAATTAAAGTAATATTTTGCTCTGTGATACATGATCGCAAAAAACGAAATACTTTAAGGTTCATTAGCTTTCAAACATAAACTCTTCAAATCCCCGCTGTGGAACAAAATGAATAAGGTGATTTTTTCCATTTGTAAAGTTCTTTTGAATCCAAGTATGAATTCGAAGTAAGATTTTAAAAAACTGTAATGGTACTTACCACTTAAATCGACAAATAGAGAAACGCTGAGCTTTACGTAAAAGATCTTAAAGATGGATCTCACCAAACGGAGACAGCGAATGCATTTTTTATGTTCATTGAGGTCTTTTTGTCATTATTCCTTAACATCTCTGTACAATGAGTGACTGTTGCAAATATATATTATTAACTTTGTTTACTTCATAAAGAAAAATAGCATTTTTCAAGTGTCACCTACTGGCCGGAACATCAACAAAGTGCATTAATGGTTTTGTCATACAAAGTAGGTTAAGAAGTCCGGAAGGCAAATAATATGTAAACGTGAAGGCAATATACGTTTGCAACCAAAACAGTTGCCTACATTTTGTACGCGGTGCTTTTTCCATGATTTAAGTTAATGTGTTGTAAAAGTTTAATTTCCGTTTTATGACAAAATTATCTCATTTAAGGCCCGATTCAGCTTCCTCACAGTATCCGCGGAATGACAACTATCATCCGCCAAAAACGCTTCTCCAAGGCTTCTGGAGCAATGATATGGCGCATGCGAACACTTGCCGGCTTACTAAGGACGTGTTTGAAATTATCATAAGCTCTACTGTTTGATATTTATTGCTTATTCATCACACATTTGGAACTTATAAGTTAGCTTTTAATTCACTAATTTTTCTCCTAACCTGAATCAAATTGTTCGACAAAACCGGATCGACTCCACGTCGATTACAAGGTTATCATTTCTACCTACCTAAAATATACCAGACTGTATTGCGGTTCTATTAATTTGTAAATCAAACATCTGGTTTTTGAAAAAAAATTGATGCAAAAGCAGGAATAAAATCACAGAGCTCGTGGAGTGTACTTTTTTCCCCTTTAAAAAGAAGAAAAAAACATTAGGGATTTAGATAGAATATTAGATGCTTTCAAAGCCAAGGACATTCAATTTGTTTCGAAATCTCATCGTAACAGCTTCCCACGCAAAAGTTTTCCCATTCCACTAAAAATGTAAATCATCTAACTTGATATATCAGATGCATTGTATGCCGGCTTACCATTGAATAGCGCCACCGCTATCCAAGATCGGCAACCCGGAAATTGGACTCTGTTACCAATGGAAGACTTCCTTCCAAGTTAGTAATAAGTGAAGAAGACACATGTCCTGATTGATGGCCGACAGTCAGCTTGTTTTAGACAGCTATGGGTTATTATTTTTTTTTTTATTTGTTGCTTTTTTTTTCTTGACGTTTTGCATTGAAAGCACTCTTGCCAATTTGAGGAATTTTAAAAAATCGTCAGTAGTCTTGTGGCAAGCAGAACTGTTCTACTCAATAAACAACGTATAGTGCAATTCCTTATTATGTTATTATGAATTCCCCTTACTTACCTACATTTTTTCCACAGTGTGGTTTTTTATTTCCGTCCATTCCTTTATTTAACTAGTCTACCCATTTTCCGTCACGACAGTTGAGTCAGTATGTTGTATGGTACAAACATTTAAATTGTACAATTTATGTCCGTATCATTTATGGTGGATTCTTGTTCTGAGTTTGCTGTAGAACATGATGCATGTCTAATGCTTTTTAGGTTTGTATGGTTTATTTTAGTTAGTTAGTTTGTTTTCTGGAGCATATTAGCGTTCGCAGATATAATATTTACAAGTTTCAAAGCTATGTTAAAAGTTAAGCACAATAAGGTTCACCGGCATTAGATAACTATTTTTGCAAAACATTCAAGCGTTGAATAAAATTATCTTATATATATCCGATGCTTTGTATTACGACTTATTTTACATCGCATGATAGTTTAAGCTAAAAAATGTCTATTGAACAGTTTTTAATCAGTTTGGTTAATTAGAAATGCCTCTTCACACGTCATCATGAGAAACGTCTTTGGGTTAAGCTTTGTAGATTTACTTGTACAAAGATGATATATGATTGTTGAATGATCGAATTACTACTGATCAAAAAATAGGGGCTTGCTCCAAAATAAGAAGTCTTAGATTGTATCTTCATGTTCATGTTTATGGCGAGATAGCGGTAACACTATATATTAATATTTTACTGGTTAATTATTCCAGCCGAGATGACTCAAATTACTAGTTGAAGTTAATCATCGTACAACTATTCCCTTGACTATTCTCAGTTTGTATAGACGCTCGGTTGTCCAACTGTCAGGGAGTCAGTTAAAGTGAGACGCATAACACCCGCAATTTGTGATCCTAAGCTATGCGGGTAGACGAGAATTTGATTTTTAAAAAATCAAGTACATGAGTCGTAAAAATATGTGTATTTAAGTCAAATGCTATCGTTCGATTATAGTAGAGGAACAAGAGCTCTTACTCAGGTTGAGAACGCTGCTTCAGCCTAACGTTTATACAATTTTGCTTGATGGTGTACTTCATAATCAAACGGCACTGCATTCTCCTTAACAAGATTTCACATATAGTTAAAAAAAGAAATCGGCGTATTTTGGAGTGCGGTTCAGCTATAAATGAGTCGATGTTAAGTAGATTATCGCTTCGTTTTTTTAAGATCACATTTGTTACTCACCCTAAATGGCTCCTGACCTAAAGTGTCGTCTTGATCCAAGAGTGAAAATTCGGTTTCTGCTCTGCTGAAATAACAGAAAAGCTTTTAACGTTTGATGATCCTTTCCGAAAGAGATTTTTGTCATGCTTACCAAGAGCGAAGCTATCGCGGTTTGAATCGCGGAAGCCAAAGTAGAAATTACCAAAGATTATTTGTGGGAACAGAACAGGTATTCTTTGCTCGATTACTTTAAATTATGCGAATGTTTCTGCGATGGTCAGATTAAAAACTGATAACCTTTAATTTTGAATTAGGTGCATGGCTGGATGCCAAACGAACAGGGTGAAGAATTGAACAATTGTATTAAACTGAATATCAAAGATTTTGGGGTGATTTTGTTAAGCGGTAATACTAAGTATTTTGTTTTACAACCTTGCGTGGGGAGTGCGATGCAAAGCCTTTCAAAGCATCATAAGTGTAGCTGCCGGAAAATTATGCTATGCGTTAACCTGTTTCAAATTGTCAAAAGATAGCCATCAGCCATTCATTACAGATGGCGATGGCAACCCCATTCGTCACTAGTGTTGATTGTAAAAAGTGTAGACGACTTTGGACGACTCTGCTTTGATTTGAAAAGATAAACGCGGACAGCCCAGTGACACATCAGTCGCATTATACCGATCGCAGATGTATTAGTTTGGAGATCTGAACTAAACCTAATAGAATATACTTTTCATTCATAATAGTTGTGAAATCTTGTGAGAACACCGTCAAGAACAACATAAAAATGTTGCATAAATGAAATTGCATTTAACTAATCCACCCTTAGAGGATACGGAAACGTCTCTTTTTTATTTGAAGTTTATTATTTTTAGTTCAAAAGAGAGGACTTTCTTCTTTAAATGTTTTTGGCTGAAACCTTGGCAAAGACAAAACAAAAAATTACCAAAATATTCTTAAGTTACAATGATAACTTGATCACACAAGTAGTTTGGTTATATATATATTACAAACGTTGTTTTGGAGACTAAACTTTTTTTTGTTTTTTTTCTTTGTGCTTCTATTTCTAATATAAATATTGGTTACTAGGTAAAGCATATAACTGTGTCTAAGAATCGTTTGAATGACTTTTACAGACCCATTTTTCAATGTATCATCGCATTGGAGTCGAGTTCATCAAATATTCAGCTCTGCTCAGACGTAGACCTTATGGATCCCTAACTGCCGGAGAACCTTAACGAGCCAGCGCTAGTATTATTGACAATGGCAAACAAAATCATTTTTGGTTGGATGTGAGATCAGAAACATGCGCAGTTGGCTGTATTATTATCTCGTATATAGACGCGTGTAATGACGTAGGACTCTTAAAAATTGTTATATTTTCTATCGACGAGCGCTTGTTTCGGGAAGCAACCTGACACTCATAAACCAAAACTTATGCACTCGGATTCATGAGATACCATTATGATTGTTCTTTGACTGTGGCCACGTTTATATAGGTCCTTTAATAAGTAATCATATATTCAAGCTATTGTTTAGGCTCATTTCCGATTCAACCCTGTTGCCTTCGGATTGGACTCGGAAATGTAAAAGTGCTATAAAATTCAGGTGGCCCTTTGATAAACCGCATGACATTTTTCTCCAGTTTCAGAACGAACAATAGCTCTAAATTCCAGTATTTTCCTTTTAATTAAATAACCACACAACTAAAAAGCGGAATTCGGGGGCTAAAAAATGCAACGGAGAGGGTAAGACGCTTGCGTACGTAGATCTTTGTTCGTCAGGAGGTTACCGCGTAGTTTTTCGCATGAATTTAAAGTGCATCCCGCGCATACTATGCCCTGAATTTAGAAAGAAAAGAATATTTTCGAAATTTTACATATTACATTTCGTATTATCGTACACAGGAACTTGAACATAGGAAAAGTTACGACCAAACCACAACACGGGGGACATGCTTAGTAAACGACTCGATATCGATAAGGTATCATGAGATCTTGTTTGATAAACTGTCTATTATCAGGATAAAATGACAAAAACAGTATGTCGTATCCTGAGTTTAACCTCATGCTTTCTGAAAGTATCATGTCTAGATGCGTGGATGATTTCTTTTAAGACTTCATTTCCTTGCGCTCGAAATATGTATGAAACATATTTGCTTTAGCAGGCTTGAAAGAAGACTGTAATCCTTCCGGCAAATTAGCTTTGACAGCCGACAAGAAAGCTCCATATTATGAATAAATGTCGCAATGATTGTTTCTCCCTTAAGTGGGAATAGCGGGTCATTGAGAACACCGCTGTTTTTGAATACTTAGGGAATCTTTTAGATATTTTACTTTCTGCAAGCAAACATGAAAATCTTAAGTTTTTGACGGCTATGAAAATACTCTTTGTAATGATAAGGTTTGGGTTAACCTGTGGAAGATTTCTATAAATAAAAGTTTTGTTTTACATGGCAGGAACGGTTTGCCAACCTACCTTGTTATCCACAGCTTTCAGCGAGTGAGCAGATTCTCAGGCTTGAAATAGAATAATCACCAGATAGCTGCCCACTTTTCCACATCCAAACAATAATATTGCTATAGCTTTTATGAAAGATCGCCCTTATTGATTGTAGGGTGCTGTACGGTGATATTTTTACGAAATTCTCGCCAACCAAAACAATGCTTCTGAAGAGAGACAATTAGAGCCCTATTTTCCAACCCTTGTAACATCTCGTTTTTCGCCGGATACAGCTGCTACCAATACTTATAGGAATCATGTACAACCACGTCTTATCCAAACAAAGTAATTTCATCCTTTTCATACACGAATATTGTACTCTTCCTTTTGTAAACTGTAACTCGGGCTCATAAACAAGACGACCCGGATCAGGTTAGGCAAAATAATTGTTTGGTACGGCTATTACATTTGTCCAAACACGAATACTTAATTTTATAATATGGAGAACAATCCTCTTTGTAAAGCTGTCACGCAGATGAGATGTTATGAAAACCGCACGGCACATTGATTATTTTTGCTCATTTGCGCTTGGTTCAAAATAAATTGGTGGTTTCTCTTGGGGCCTCCTCCGAAAAAAGTGTACTTCACGGTTCTTAATTTCGAAACGTTTCCCCACCTTTGAATTGAGTAGCAAGGAAATGCATGTAAAAATCAAGTAGACAATACATATATTTTTGTTTTCTTTAATGCCCACAGTTAAGCAGTGTCAGGAAAATGCGATGTGCCATTTAACAGCCTTACGTCAGTTCGAGAACATTTTTCGATAAATATATAAGATTGTTCTAGAAAAATGTGTTCACACGCATTTGAAACTTTTAGAGCAAGCTACGAAAGCCTTAAGCATTTTCATTTGATTTTGACAGGTCAGTTGATCACTAACAAATAACAATAAAGTTCAGGACAGGCAGGCAAACCTCAAAACCACAAACTAATTACCGCCACTGTTTACGGTTTAGTTTTCTAACCCCGATTGGTTCTTTCCAATAACATTCCGTAATGTTTCGAGTGTTCACTGTTTCTGAGGTTTGCAGCTACGGGATAGGAAGAGTGCAAAATAATTGTCTTCCACATGAATCGATGATGTTTATCACTCATGAAATATAAAAGAAGGCTTCTACTAATAATTTGAAAATGTAGCGAAAGGATATTTTCTAGAAAATACCCATTCTTGTCATTGTAAGAAAATCATCATCACCATTGTCCTTATCACATTAAACATTAATACTTCCATTATAATTACTATCATCATCAGCATTATCATTATGGCATTATCATCATTATCATTATCGCATTATTATTGTTTATTTATTATTCTTTCTGTCATCAGTTTCATTATTATAATTTTATTATTATTATTCTCATTTTTACTATCATCATTATCGCCATTGCATCATCATCATTATCTTAATCGTTATCTCATGCTGTTGTTAGATATTTGCTCTTTTCATTCGTAGGTCGAGTCCATGCCTATGACCTTAATCTCCTGGGACCCTCTTATAAATCTTAAAAATAAATAAAAGATAAATAAGGGCCATACCACTTTTCCCTTTTAGAATTTTACTATTCGTGCAGATCTCCCAGCTTAGTACGGACTCCCACACTGACTCTTCGGCTTTCCTCCACATCAAACATTTGCAATTGATTTCTTTTATTCATTGAGTATGTGCGCATTAATTAGTCACGTTTTCTCCTAAGCCTTAGACAGCCAGGAGGACGGCTTTTGTCTCTTTTATCGTTGTCAGCCCCTTGGAGCAACTAAGGCTGTCCAAACACTGAATGCCTCGATTGGTGGCACTGCCCATGCACAGCCTTGAGTTCTCTCTCTTAACTTTTGACTAGCTAAGTAAATTTGCTATGGTGGGTCATCTTGTGGTTGAATCTTATGAAAGTTTCTTCTTGGAGGTGATCCCCACAGAACTCCTACAAGAAGTAGTAATGGGAGGTTTTCTAAGCACGAAAGAAGCTAGACTCTTACGCTTCTTTCCTTCCTTTGTTCGTGCTTCTTTTGTGCTTAGCAACCTCCCGCGTGCAATCATTACTCAATAGTGTATGCTGTGGTGTTCACTATTTGTGAACTGATAAGAAATTTGCCGCGTAAAAATGTTTTTTCTTACGGGGAGGGAGGGAGGCACGGGCGTGAATAAACACTGACAGCCGACGCATCTAGACATGTTGCCTATGTGGTATTAAGTTTCGCGGGGTTTGAACTTTGTTTTTAGATTAGTTGACAAGCACGCGTCATATTTGACACTGGCTTAAAATAGCATTGTTTTATTTTCAATTATCGGAAAAGCCAGAACTTTTAAGCAAAGATTCATCAGGCCCTTAGAAAGACGTTAGAACAATACGTACTTTACGCTGTCAAGTTTCTACCTGTGTCTCGTCGAGAATGATGCAAATGTGTCAACAGTCATATTTATTACTTGATCAAATATTTTAGCAAAACGTACGTATTTTAAGGAACGGGAGACATCTGCGGAAGAACATGAATAACAGAAACCCCAAGAAGGATTTTTGAGGTATTAAATCTTCTATGACGAAGGAGCTTGGTGGATTGAAAAGAGGAGCTTCCAGGTAATCTTCTACGTAGTCTTTGAGAAGGACCTGACTGATTTTGCTGCAGGTTTACGATCGATATAAATTGCTGTGAGAAATTGGACCAAAATCTCAGGTGCTTCAATTACTGTTGATTATAGGAAATACGGAACGATAGCTGTCAACAGTGCTGGTCGAAGTTAAAAATCCGTCCAAGGATATGCAGTCAACTTAAGCCTTAGAACTAAGATGGCTGTTATTGAAATTGTAAGTTAGAACAGGTTATTCGCGAAGACGAAAGCTTTAAGGAAAGGTTCCAAACCAAGGTAGGACAATTTCAATGCTAAAAGTATTATTTTATTGATTAATATTCAAGAGATTTAGTTAAAAATTCATGAGTCTCATCGTGTTATGTATAGCGCTGATTTCCATCCGGTTCGCTTGACGCTTTTTGACTTGACTCCATATTGACTTACATGTCTCCACGACCATGTATTATAAACGTGTGAACCCTTCCTTTTGTCTGTACAGAGAATTGGAACATATATTTCTCATCAAGTGCTCTCTCTCTCTCTGACTAATTAAAAACAATTTTGTGGTTACTTCTTGGCACAAATAATAATGTTTATCACGGCCACGAGCTTCACTTGCCCATCTCGAACGATAGAAAGAGGTACAAGCTTCCCAAAATAAACGAAAAGTAATTAGTGGTCGGCCACCTTTCAGCGCAAAAATATGCAGAATGAATTCTTTGATGAAACATATTGACATTACATCACAGTGCAACGTACTTCTTCTCACGCAAGTAGTGAAAGGGCTAAGTATGGTGCCAATGGTGCTTCCAGAGCTGGAGGAGAAAGTCAAAAGATGACTTTTCGTTCAGCTTTAGGAGCACCATTCGCACCGTAGCAAGGTTCTGAGATCACTCTTGACTACTTCATTGACAGATTGAAAGGAAAGAAATTTGCACATGTACATACATACATACATACACACACACACACACACATATATATATATATAAATAAAATAAATATTAGATTCTGCAACCACAAATCAAGCATGCTTAATATTAAAAGAACATGTAAACTGGCGGTATATTGCAATTAAATCTCAATATGAAATTTTTCAAACGAATGTTGCTGTCATAGAAAAGAATTACACATTTCCAAACTCCTCTTCATCTAGACCAATTAAGAGAGAAGCCTATTGGATGACACAATTATTCACGCTTATTCCGCATTCTTAACAAACGACGTGACTTTCGCTCCAAAAATCGTGTCAACTACGACAATTAATAAGATCATTTTGATACGTTCTTGCTTGGTAAAGGAATTGTTACCGGTTTAGTTCCTACCCTTATTAATTTTGTGTAAATAGTTTAAATTGTTGTGTGATTGCTCTTGGGTTAAGGGGCTCCGTTGGGGGTTTCTGTTATTTTCGTTTTGTGTGTGCCGTTTATGACCCCTCAATAGGGACTTCATCACAGTATTGTTTAAGGGCCCTGCTTTGAGACTTTGTTGGGGCCTTAAGAATGATTATTCAGAGGCCCTTAGCGGGAAATTTGTTACCTTTTGAGCTGTTACCTGGCTTTTGTCCCATCACTCCGTTTCGCTTGTTCTCGTACAGGTGTTATTTTGTTTGTAATTAAATCCTTTTTAGACATGCTACTTATAAAAGCCTGTACTTCTTATAGGCACAACCGTTGTAAATAGCTTTTAGTTTGTATTTTTTTAAGTCTATCTGAAGAAGGCTAAACAGCCGAAACGTTATTAAATCTACAGTCGGACCACTTAGAAGTTTATCTCGCTGTTCTTCTCCTGGCATTTATCTATCTAGCTATCTAACTATCTATCTATCTATCTATCTATCTGTCTGTCTGTCTGTCTGTCTGTCTGTCTGTCTATCTATCTATCTATCTATCCCAAAATAATCTATCTATCTATCTATCTATCTATCTATCTATCCATCTATCTAACGTGTGATAGGCAGAAAAAAATCAACTACTTTTCAATTGAGCTAACCGCCTCCCGGTTAGCTCAATTGGTTAAGCGCCGGACTGTTGCGCGGGAGGTCGAGGGTTCGAGTCCAGGCCGGACCAACACTCAGGGTCTTAAAATAATTGAGAATAATATGCTACCTTTCTATAACATCGATCAAGAAATGGTTAGATATTCTAGTCTTCTCGGATAGAGACGAATAAATGGAGGTCCCGTCTCCTGCAACTATTAATTAGTTAATTTGGTTAGGCAAGGGACGTTAAAGAACCCACTTCACGAGATTACTGTGATGTGGTCTGGCCTGGTTACTGGGAATAGGGGGGAGGGGGCATTTGTTATATTCGCTTTCATTTAATTGTAAACTGCTTAGCAGTCTGGTAAAGTCCCCCGTACAGTGTTGTACAGCGCCATGAGTTTAAGATATGAGCGCTATATAAATACAAGTTATTATTATTATGAACTGAATGCTACATTCTAATCAGGCAGCACAGGGCGAAAACCGTAACCTGTGAGCCGTGGAGTAAAAAATAAATGTACATTAACTAATCCTAAAAAGCTTTTCCGTTGTGTCTACGGTCCTCCTTCTAACAGAAAGTCAAACTGCCACCTTGAAAGTCCGGGCAATATTCAGCGTGCCCGAGAGCACTGCCCTCTGCATCTTTCGCAGTACGTCTGTGCTTCTGCCTCCCACCAGCTCGCGCATCATGACATCCAGCTCCCGTGACCACCCCCCGAGGGCATCCATAATGATGTTATATTGCTTCACCTCGTAGCCTGGGAACTGCTGCCTTAGTTCCCAGCGAAGGGGTCCGTACTTCAGTGTCTTCTCTTCATCCTTTCTTGTCCGATTGTTAACCCACGGGCAGCTCATTTCCAGCGTCACAACTCTCTTGCACATATGATTTACAATGCGTGCATCCACCCTATTGCATCTGACCTCTTGTTGATCAGCATATATAGGGACATCCCAATAAGCTTTAACATTCTCTGACTCATACACGGGCTTCGGCTTGTCGGGTGAGTACCAGGGTGGTATCTCGTCTATAAATCCCTCATCATACAACAGTTCGTAAAACAGTACCTTCAGTGCTGCGTCGTGTCTAGAGAGATACTTGCTCTGGGCCAGNTAGATTATTATTTCATCCCTCAGTACAAACCTTTTAAAACTTAGAGAAAGGATCTGGATCTTAGGGCTGAGCATTCAAGTAGAAAACAAACTCAATCATCCGCGGGTGCTTGAGGCTGCTCCAATCTGGGTGCTTTGATGTTCCACTTAGCGTGCATATGTCATCTGAAGCAGACGGACTTAACGATTTGTTCCGCAGGATTATAAAAATGTAAAATATGGCGGTATTGACTATAGTTGAGAGGAAAGTTCATGAGGATTGTCAGCGGTTCTCTCCGCGGCAAATAGTTCGGTCGGTGAGTTTACGAATCTCTGCACTGAGCATAAATTGGATATGTTTTAAAAAAGGTACGTTTGTTGTTCATGTCGTTGTTAGAAATATATGAACGTGTTATCGTTGGTGTCACAATATAAAAATTAAAGTTGCTATTCATTTTAGATCACCGCGTTTCGATTATTATATTTCCCGTCCGAGTATTCGAAAGCGAAGGAAAATGGAGTAATGGCTTGGCATGCTGTTTGGCTGCTATTGGCGCTGTCTGTCCTTGATTCATTTCGACCCTCATTATTATTTTGATCAGCTGATGTTTTCCCTCAATAGATCACGGCTTTGTTACTAACAAGACTCCGATTTAGAACATGCCTTTTTATAAGGCATCTTATGGACAACTTTGACCGTCTGTTTGGGTTTTGACAGGAACGTGTCCGGCGGCTTAATGGCGCGTCCTCAAAACACTAAGTTCTAAGTTTTAGCAAGCCATAAGTGCATGTCTTTTATATGTTTTTTCATTCTTTCATTTATCGCTTTGCTATTTTTTTCGATTGATTTTCTTTTTTGCACCAGGAACCTTAATTTTTCTTGGAACTTCAGGCCTCAAAGAACCTCTGATTCTCCCACAACATATAAGATAAATTCAACTAAAATTTTGCTGGGTGACTTTTTCGGCGGTTGAACTTGCCTAGATTTTCCTGGCGAGGGAGATGAGGGATATCCGTCATAAGAAAGTACGAAAAGTGATGTGGATAGTAGACTAAGTATTGGTCTCTCTGCCCAGGTCTCCTACACACACTGATAGCACAAGATAAACTTTAGAGAAACTATATATATAGCTTCGAGAAAGGGAAAGGTGTGATTTTTTTAAATGATGGTGAACGATGATAGCGTGTTTATTGTTTAGATGTTGCTTGCCAATGTCAATCAGTCTGGCTTTACTTATTCAAGTCATAGCTTTGTATGGTGCGTTCGCCATTGTGAAGACGGTTCTGATTTAAAGAGGTTGAAGTAAGGGTAGAGAAGTAAACTTTCGGCCGGGAAAAAGAAGAGTTGCCACGTAAAGAAGGAGTTGTTAGCGGAGATTCCACCACAACTGCTAAAACTGGTTTAAGTTCTTGCTGCATATTGAATATAATTTTCCAAAAAGGTCAATTTCATTGTAACCACTGATAGTATGACCTTTTTGAGCTCGCAATACTGTCGCTGTTTTTGTTTTTCGTCAAAATACTTCTATTGAACCATAGCTCTTTGCAATCAACATTCGTGTTGATGGAATTTGGCATGGTCTGATGTCTGGGAAAATAAAATAATTGTAAAATTGAATACGAGACTGAAGGTTAAAACTGGTTATCATTAATTTGCTTGGGAAACATTTCAGTGACAAAACATTAAGTGAATTTACCGAAGAATCATGGCGGATTACACCCTTTCTCCTTGGAGAAAATGGAGCTGGACATTGAGAATATGCGGATTACCTGTTTACTCAACGAAAGAAAAGCATTCCAATGAATTTGAAACTCGTTTATGAAAATAACACGTCACTTCCTGATTGCAGCGCTCCGCTCTTTGGAGTATTTATCTCCATTACTATCTGTTTTCAGAGCATACCTAAGCTTTAACTTCTTAGTTTACTCTGAGTAACGGAATGGGCACGAGAACTTCTTTCACGCTATGATATTCCTGCGTGAAACGTTGTTGTATCATGAACTACATCTAACGGGTTTTCTAACAGGTAAGAAAGCTTTTATCAGTAAGAGTCACGCTATCCCTTTAGGGGGCGGAAAGGCATGCCTAACAAACACAAACATCTGCTTTATCTAATGTTTTAAGCATAACCTTTTACCAAAAGTAACATAAATGATAGGTTACTATTGCTCATTCTTTAGATGTCTTTCACTTGACAGTAACCTGTGGTCCAAAATTTTA